TCTAAGCACATAAATTTCAATCTCTTCATGGTATCCGTATATCTACACTTGACAGTAGTGGCCTAGTTCCACTAAAAACGTATGCTCATTAATTATTGATTGTGTATGAATTAATAAATTTAATTTTATTTGGCCCTCTCACTTTATAAAACCACTTTCTTGTAACTCTATTGTTAATTGTCTATGATATAAAGCATTAGTAGCGTTGTAAGAATGTTTATTATCCTTGTTGTGAGCTAATAGACATGACTCGACATATAATGATCCAAGAATAAGTAGATATTATGAATTTTGTACTTCTCCTATCGATCTAACCTCCTTAAATTTTAAAACACATAACTTTTACTCACTTTAAATTTCTATTCATTTTTTATGGATATATACTTATTCCCCTACCACAATCAATAATAATGAAAGAAGAATATTTATTAAACCAAAAAGACACTATATATCCTTTAACATGAACTCCAAACGCAAAGCCTTTTCCAAAGATCATTTACGTATACAATTCTCATAATATTAAGTTGTTAAGTGATGCATTTATATTATATCCCTTGAACTTTCTTCCCCTAATTTGATTTTCTTTTGAAATTAGAAACTCACAATTTATTCTCCCATCCAATCAAACTTTAACCAAGCTTTACAAGTATAACATCATTATTAATATTAAATGAATTGATATTGTTTTTTTTCATCTAATCTGAAGAATTGAGACTACCAAATCTATAAATGTTTATGTACTGTCTCAATAATAGACTAATAGAAAATTTTGTCAATTATTATTTATTTATTTATTTTTTTTAATTCAATAAAATTTATGCACCTACCCATGTGTTGAGAAACTGCTGAATTACTTCAGGCTTTGGGCCTCACAAAGACAAGGGCAAGGTGTCGAAATCGACAGCATTAACTTTGACGTCACCTTCAATGAAATTTATTTTATTTTTTTCATGAAAACGAAAACAATGCAATGTGAAGTCTATCTTCATTTCTATGGTGTATCATATTTTGGGGCTGCATTTTTATGTTGAATTCGATTATCAATAAACTTTTCTTCATAGTCTTAGTAATCTTGTTTGCTGTTAAATAGAGATTTAATTAAATAATAAAAATTATGCTTCTAATCAATACTCAATTTGAACAGCAAATTTAAACTCCATTTATTTAAATTAAAGTCAAATTATATAAACGTAAGGAATTAAAATATATATATATATATAAGAGTATATATGT